GTTTATTTAAATTTATACAGTTGAAGAGTATCTACAAAGAATTCATATTCATCCCTTACTATAATTACTCATACAATTATAACTATAATAGTTTTCATGTCAAGAACATCAAAACTTTTACATTGATGGACAATCTTTCTTGAAAAACTGTATAATTCTGTATTTCTGACAGGATATACTCCAAACTGAAACCCTAACTTATTCTAAAAAGAATAAGTCTTTAAAGGTTACAAATTTCACAGAATTTTAAGATAAATACTCTTCCATAAAATCAGATTTTTTTCCAAACCCTCAATCATGGCTACTTTCCTGACTTTCCATCACATCTCACAGAATTGACAACAAACCCATTGAATCACAGTTTCATAACCCAATAGTCAATATATCGCTTTGTTTTCCGTACTTTGCTGAAAAAAAAAAATCATATTCCATACTTGGGGCCATGAGTGTGTTAAAAGGGTAATTGTTAAATCCCACTGTTTAATTTGGGAAGACTAGTCCAATAGTTGGCAGTATTGACTCGCTGTCATCCCTCTTATCTACCACTTCAAAATTAAGGATGGCTAGCATAGATAGCCCTCTTTTACCTTTGCACAACATCTAACAAAACAAACCATCTACAAATATTAATCGAACTCACGAATACTATAAGCACAAAACAGTATTATCTCAATTAGATGACAGAACACCCAGAGTGTCAGTAATCTTAAAGAAAAATAATCTTTACAGTTCCTATTAAGAAACACTGCAGATACACATTCTGCATTAATTTAAGTACACAATATTTCAATAAAACAAACTGTTTTTTTTTACATTCTCTTAAGAAAACAGTGAATTCCAAGCATGTGAAACTAACGGGTAGTGAATAATTGTAAAATTACAATGTTATCCTAGCTGCAGTTTAGAAAACGTATTGCCATCTTAACATGGTATAAATTAAGCTTTTATTTCAAAGTAAATGATTCAAACAGCCAAAAGTATCATTAGTAGAAAAAGCACTTATCTCTAATACTGATGATTTTAAATTTTTATTTTATGTTATTGTATACTCCTTGTTAGACTGATATATTAAATTAGCTATATTAATTACTGGAGTAACATTTAGATCCTATCTACGCGAGTAGCTTGTGTTAGAGAGTATACAGTGAATCTTAACGGAACTTTAAAAATTTTCCAAATATAATAAATAAAAATTCAAAATTATTAACAAAGAAATATTATCAGTTTTCATAATGAATTGAGTTTCTAGGATGACCTGTACAACTTATGGTATCTTTATTAAAATTAATTTATAAGAATTTGCTAATCCAGCAACATGAATAGATTACTTATTTAATTTTGTTTTGATAAAAAAAACTTTAGTAACACTGGTACAAAATTAATTTATTTTAAGACTTTTCAAAATGGATTGAGGAAAAATTTCGAATCTTCTATAAATTTAATTTAAAACAAATTATTTAATTTATTTTGTTTATTTATTTGTTTATAGTTATGCACAAAGCTAAACAATGGGCTATCTGTGCTGTGTCCACCACGAGTATTGAAAACCGGATTATACCATTTTAAGTCCACAAACTTGCTGCTGTGGAAATAAACACCTGTGTTTTTTATTGAATTAACGTTGATTACTGACCTATTATTGCCTTGGAATGTTGTACAGCGGCTCTTGTACAATCCACACTTGATCCAAGACTACAGTAGCCATGGTTGTCTGGTGGTGTTACTTGGACCAAAGCCACATCAGGTTTAACAATCTCTCTGTGAAAAAGCAAAGGAACTTCTCCCAGAAAAATGGGTACAAAGTCAGCTCGTCCACTATTGATGGCTTCACGACAAATTAAGCTAAGCAAGTGTAATATCTAACTAACTTTGAAACTATAGAGCCAAACAAGTGTAAAATCTCATTTCTGTATAAACACAGGTATCGAGTGTTTCAGTATTAAAAAACTAATATTTTTTCTTTCATGCATCAGACATGAAGTACTATGTTAATGTTGTCTAGAACTGAGGAAAGAGAATAACTTAAGAATAAACAAAAACCTAACATAAACAAGAAGTAAAAGGTGATTATCCTTTACTTGTCATCTGTGATACCGATTTATCCCCAAAAGTTGTAAAAATAGTGAATGCAAGGCCTGATCTATGATTATCTTTGGTTACATCACATACACACTTGGCATTTTTGTAACGTTTTGCTCATAATAAAAGTTTGTCAAACATCTGAACCAAAATTTCAATTAAAAGTTCAGAGATATAATACGATTTCTATTTTGTCAGAATGAGAAGTTTATTTACTGTATAACATTAATATTACAATTTTTTCTTACCACACAATCAATTACACATAGAATACTAGGCTAAGAGAAAAAATACAAAATTTGAGTTCCAAAGCAACATCAGACGATAAACAATAACGACGGTCATTTTTTAAGAAAAGAAGTAATGAAGGTGTGAATTGAAGATACATTTACATAAGTATACAATCCCAATGAACATATCTTTTTATTCTACTGAAATTCACAGAGCTAGCCCATATACTGTAACTTGATACACACTAGTTTAGAATACCTTCACAATCTGGATGGTTGTATTCCGCAGCACCTTCAGTATGTATGTGGCATACGGTAATGTTCTTGAGTTTTTCTTTCTTGGCATGTTCCACCATAGCAGGCACTAGCTTCCGAGGGGTTGCAGCAATTCCTTGTACAAATACAGTGTCCCCTGTAAATATTTTTAATAATTATCATACAAGATCCAGAATTCCCTCTGAAATTTACCAATGACTAATCATAGGGATGTAAAATGTAGCTTTCAAAGTTACAAAAGCCAAACAGTTAACGTACGTATGAAGATCCACAACACAATCGAGGGAGACGACACATATTTTGTGTTAAGTGATGAACTTTAATCGCAGACTCATGGTTACGAGTTCATTCTATCTCCCAGATATGTCATGAACCTTAAACATCAACAAAACCAAATTTATTAGTTTTTAACCATTTATCATCCATGGAAGTTTTTTTTTTTTTACATTACCGTAAATGTACTGGTGGAGATGGTAAAGGGTTAATGATCTAAAATTTACATAATATCAAAAATAAGTATTTCTTGTATGTCTTCCCAACATTTCTTTAGTGACATATTGAGTACTAAATTACAGGGTGTCAGAATATTTTGATATCATCTAAAAGAGTTTCTGAACTATACGTGATTTGTAGCTTTTCTTAATTTCAGATACATGACTGATTATGATGCTGTCAAAGCAGGGGAAGGTCGAGTTAATCCTTCCGTGTAGCAGAGGAGGTTGGTCTCGGCGGAAGGTTGCTGCCAAATTTAATGTATGCCATCCAGAAAAAAAGAAAAACATCACTCACAGTACTGTTGGAAACGTGCTAGCTTAAATTTAAGGAGACTGGCGGTGTGGACCTTGCCAATGACACGAATATGCTTCACATTTTTTCAGAGAGAGAATGGATATACCGTCTCCAAACTTGTTTTGAATTGCAAGGACAGCGTGTGAAACACGTTCTGTAAAATTCACTAAAGTGCCTATGGTTCCAGATGTTTTGGACACCCTGTATTCAAACCAAACATATTAGTTCGATGTCACTAGTTTGAGTTTCAGAACTTTTTCCAACAGCAATTCTTTCATTTTTATGGTGTTTGAATCCTTTTTCTTTAACTCATCATATAGTAACCTAGATTAATGTAGTATGTGTGAAATATATCACTGTGTCTAACTTGTTATTCAGTAATACATAATGGACTAAATTTTTAATCATTTTATAGATTTTGTTTCTTAACCTGATGATAACCTACGCAGGTCAAAACGTTATTTATTCTGTATTTTAAATACCCATCTCAAATATGTATTTACTTCAGGTAGGGACCTCAACATTATGAATAGTTGAATTACTTTACTACCAGAGCTTAAATACTAAGCTATTGTCAAGCGGATATGGTAACTAACATGGGGGGTTTACTCTCAGAGAATGGTAACTATTATATGAACATAAAGTAACTACTTTACAAATTTTGTCCATATTCATGACCTTCCAAACATTTTACTACTGGATACAGCCACGTTTGTAACTGATAAGTAAGAATGAGAAAACGTTTCTGTGTCATGCCTGCACAAAAACATGGGAAGCCTACATTTTCTGCTTCGCTTCCAATGGAGAAGTGATTTTAGTATGTATTGTAAAAGGTTTACCAAACAATCATAAAAATAATTGTTTCGTAAGGCCAGTAGTTACAAATATAGGCATTTACCACCAAAAACTTTCAGGTTTGTTTTTAACTTTCCTGAACAACATACACTAATATTCCCTTGCAGGAAGTAGTTCACAAAGCAGAAGATTTGGTTTTTCAAAATTATACAGTTGTACAATGGTTAATAAAATTCAGTTTTTACCAAGTTATTACACTTTGCAACTAAGAAATGTCATTTTAAATTTGACAATAGTCTTTATGATCAAACATATAGTGTTGCTATGGGTTCGAGGGTAGGATGATTACCAATATTGTTAGTATCAAGACATAAAAATCAAATTTCATTGATTTTCTTTTTCAGTTGTAAACTTGATGTTATTTTAAGAATAAATTCACATGATCTTGTTTCTTCAAGAGAACAAGTTTTATCAACATAGCTACGATATCTAACAGATTTAAAGTTACCCGGACAGTTATTCAACCATTGTTTCTCATGATAACAAACACACACACGTTTTTTTCTAAACCAGGTTTGCAAATAGTAACATAACATAAACCAACATTTTCACCTTAAAGTTTGTTTTAGAGCAAAGCCATATTGGGCTATTTCCTTTGTCCACCCCAGGGAATCGAGCCCTAGATTTTGGCATTGCACTGTCCCACCAGGGGACAACATTTTCAGGATTTTATATTCATGCTGACAGTCTTGCACCTGTTAATTGCTGTCACTAGCGATCAGTATCTCAATAAAGAAACAGCAACATGTTTTATTAGGAAATGGTTTTCATCTATCATTACTCAAGAAACATTTAAAAATGTTAATAAAATGGTGTGACACACCCTCTATAAGTTAACTATTAAGTTCCAAAACTGTCATTTTAGGTTAGTCTCCAATTTAAGGGTGAATACAGTTAGGTTTTGAGAAACAGAATAAAAAATATTTTGAAATCAATCTATCCTCAGATTTCAGTGTGTAGCTTTAAAACCTGCAATGAGAATATAGAACTTTTTAAGATACAGAAGAGAATTAATAAACTTCAACATTCTTAAGTTGTTTATAAATACATCCGTTCTTCATGTGTACAAGATGAGGGATTAACCATATGTCATTTAGAATAGCATTAAAAAAAATTTTAAATCTACGGTTGGTCATTCTTCATACATCTACAGAGTACAGACATATAGACCAAGAATGTAATGGGACAAGCAGATGAATGAGACTTAGGAATTACGTGTAATACCAACAAGGTTATATATTCATTTTAAATTAATATAAAAAACTGAAAGTAACAACGTTTCTTCTATTTAATCTTATACAATAAATAAAAGTTAGTATTATTAATTAATAGAATGTAAACTCTCATTATACGGGGTGTCCCTGAAGTCTGAACCCATAGGAAAAATAGACATCATATTCTTAAAGCTAAACAAACATATTTATAATGTCAGTTGTACATATTTCAGGAGAATAATACCTTGATGGCACAGTCTACCAACAATTGGTATGTGTATTGCTGTTAATGGCATACAATTTGAGTAATAAAGAATACTCCGTGTATTTTTCCCTATGGGTCCAGACTTCTGGGACACTCTGTATATCATAAAATAAATGTAATTGCATCATAATGTTATGGAGACCAGTGCTGAGTCAAATGAACGTGAAACATTATAGGGGATGTTTAAACCAAACATATATTTTTCTTGCTCAGATATAGATGTGTTTGTGGTAAATTGCAAGTTTCAGAGTCCAAGAAATTCATGCCTGTTGTTAGTGTTACTGCAGTACAGTTTTTCTATTGGTGTTATTCACTGCTGTTTAGTGCTAATCTATTGAATATGCACGTTACTTTGTCAAGCTCTTGGTAGTATTTGACTAATCTTTAAAAAAATTGTGGCTTGTCTATACAACTTACAAATCCGTAATTTAGGAGTCAAAGGGGTGATGCTGTTAGGGTTGATCTTCACACTGTTATCCAGTTGGGGCACAGATAATCAACTGGATTGTCTTTTGTTAATACATTTGTAGTAGTAGTTCTAGCAATTCTAGTACAGACGAAATTTCACTACTTAAAGTACTAAATAATCTAAGTGCTATAATAGTTTTAATTTATAAATTCTGTTCTACCAAGTTTTGTTTACCAGGCTACAATAATGTTGACAGATATGTTTTTTCAAGATCAAACAAAAAAAAAACAAATTAAATCAGAACTAGCCAAAGAAATACTAACAGTATGCTAAATATTATGTAATTTGAGAGTGTACTGCACTAAAGAAAAGTGCATAAGACTATGACTGACAAACAACTTTGCAATGTCGATGTACTGGGTGTAATTTCGATGCATCTTTCTGAACTATAATATTGTATAATGTTACTTTAAATAGCTTTTTTTAACAGATTTTTAATCTGAATTATATTAAATCTTTTGTAAAAGTGCTCATCTGGAACGTCAGATCTAAAATAGCTTTTATAAAGGTGGATCTTGTTATTTAACATGACTTTAATAAATTCATCATTTCTTTCAATAGATATATATTTTTAAGATATTTTATGGTACAATAACAATATTACATGTTGTTCTTCAGAACAGAAAAGTTGATCCTGACACTGGAAGTAGGAGTGCTGCTTCTGATCTACATAATATACTCGTAGAACTTAAAATAACTTACACAAGATGATGTAATATCTTCATTTCTTGTTATCTAAGGTCATTCCACTTCCAACAATGTTGTCATCAATGATTCACTCATGTGTGGCAAGTAAATACAGGTACATACATCTCGTGCAAACAAAAATTCCAGATTCTGGCTTTGTTCCAGTGGCTTTCTCATCCTTTTTTTTTGATGCCACACTTTCATATGTACAATCATACCTCAAAGCTGGAAATATAATGTTGCATCTGTTAGCTTCTTTACTAATTTATTCATATCTTTGCGTGAGGTTAACTTCACCGTTACTCTAAAATTACTACTAATACTAATAGTAGTCGTCAATTTTGATAAATTGCTTGCTCCTGTGTCAGTTCTTGCCCACAGTATATAATCTGTCAGTTTTAAAATAACATAGTTAAATTACTTAACAATAACAGTACGTTATCATACACGGTTCACAGTGTCAAAGATGATATATATGGTAATACTATTAGTATCACGATCTGTCTTGCTGAAGAATAAAAACGACTCCTACCAATTAATCAGCTCATTTTTTTCGCACTCATAATTTTGTACTTAGTTTCTTTAGTCCTTCTCTTCGTTGAGATAGTGTATACTCCACATTTTGCCATTTTCTTATTGTAAAATTCGATGAAGATGACGTTTGTAACACCACTGTAGTACACTATAGGCCTAAATTAACAAAGTTTCGTGTCAGATTTATCTATGAGATAGTTCTAAACTTACTCCATTACGCTAAGTCTAACGTTATTATAATACTAACCAGATTTTATGATTTGCATTGCTTCCTCCACAGACATCCATTTTGGTTCTCTGTTCAGCGGTTGAAATGGTTGTTTCGCATAATCATAGAATGTTCTTTTAACAATGAGACTAGATAAAAGATTTGGCCGTGAAAAGCTGCGAAATGTAAAATGAATTCCATTAAAACTAAAAGCAACCACCATACTTATTGATGCCACTTTTGTAATTATATTACTCAAGGCCGCGCCAACACACACACACACACACACAAAAGTACACGTGACAAATATGGTACTACACGTATTGCAATATTAGTCTTCTCAAAATGATTGTATCGTTTCACATCAGAAAGGAAGTTATTTCACTACAATGAGTTGTATTATAGTCTTTCTTTCGCTCTCTCATTTTTTTTTTGGAATAAGCATGTGGAGGACTCAAAGAACATTTAATGCACAGAGTTTTGTGCTGATACCTTAAAGTTACTTACATTAGTTACACTCCTGAGGATGACGTTGTAACGTCGAAACGTGTAGAGTCGTCAACTTTTTGAAGGCCATATAGATAGGCCTAAATAAAATGTTTTAAAT